CAATAAAATAATATTTTCCATCACATCAATAACTTTTCCTTCTTTTTCAACCACAAATTCTCAATCAATCTACTATTTCAGAATACATTCTTCCAAAATAATGTGACTCAAACACACCCTAAATAGCATCAAATAATAATCGATTTTTTTTCTTATATCCTGGTCTGCCGAAGCACATCCCACGATTTACCTGCTCTAGGAGCGGGACGGTGGGAGACCCTCAAAGTTGAGGTTCAACCTTTTAGCTTCTTAATTTTTATCGTGCATAGGAGTATGCCAAACATGTGGAAATTCCACAGGCACACCCTACTAGCTAGACAGGCACATTAACAACCATAAGTCTTACCCAACAATAATATTACCTGTTGTCTCTTTGATCTTCTACAGTGGAAATTAAGTTGACGAATCCTTGTTCGTCATTTGAACGTTATTTGGATATCGGGTGCCAAGGTTCAAGGCAAAAGTACTATGACTCCGCTCAAAGAGTGCAATGGCTGAGGGCCGTCGTCTCAGGGAGCAATGAAGGTTTAGTATTTACAACATTATTAATGATGTCGGAAGCTGGAACGTTTATGCACGAAAAGAAAGATTTTTGCCCTGTTTGATCCTCATTTTTCTCAAACTCATTTTCAACGACATATTTTACCATAAAATAATTTTACACGTAAACTCAAAAACTTTTCCTATTTTTTAACAACAAATTCTCCAAAAAATCACTATTCCAAGTTTAGAATTTCTCTAAGGACAAATTTCTTAGGATAAGTTGCCCGAGCATTAACAACTGCAACATCAGAGTTTGTTTTTGTTTGCACACGAGTTGATATAGTAAAGGCACGACATGATAGAGACCCGAGTTCAAGAAGAGTTGAAGCACTTGTGAGGCTACCACCACCAGTCCAACTCAAATAGTGGCAGCAGCCTCCATGGCGTACACCCTTGGCAGGGCAGTGCCGCTGATTGTGGCTTGGGTGTTGAGGGATCTTTTGTGGGAGCAAAATGTTATATTTTCCATTGCAGCAGTTTCAGCTAGTGTTTACATGTTTGTTGTGGGAAATATAGTAGCCTTCATGGGGAAGGCACCACTTTTGAAGTCATTCTTGAGAGTGATACTTGGAGGATGGATTGAGATTGGGATAATGTTAGGGAAGAGGAACTTAATTAGTTCGTGAATCAAACGGGCTGTTGAGGACGCATTTAGCAAGCTTTTTTATAAGGTAGATTAGAATATATTGAAAATCTATACATACCAAACTTGTTATCGAAGTATTCAAAGTCCTAGTTCGTCTTGTTAGTTAAATGAAATGGCAAGAAATTAAAAGTGAAGTGTTTTGTAGAACGTAGGATTCCCGGGTAAGCATCAAGGTCGAATGAATTTGAAAAGGTAATAGAGCAGAATGAAGAAAGTTTTCACATTATTCCACTAGTCAATTACAATTTGCATCTTTGCTACAAAATACTGGATAATTTATAAACAAGACTAATCACTTCCTCGATATACTTAATCACTTCCTTGATACCATCTAGTAATGCACAAGATATGGATACAGCTAAGCCCTTTTAGCGATAGTGGTTCGGTAGGAACGCTTATTAAAGGAAAATTTTATCACCATGTTTGTAAGCCTCTTACATTGGAAATGAAGTTTTTATACCAAGTTGCTGACAATCTGGGAGTTCTTTCAAGACTAGCATAATCTACGTGGTGAAGTCCAAATCTTATTGTATATCCAGATGTCCATTCGAAGTTGTCGAGTAAGGACCAGGCAAAATAGCCCCTCACATCTGCTCCATTCCTGGACAAAATTAGCACATTTATCAGTCTGTCAGCATTGGCTTCCAGATTATGTTTTTCCTACTCCCTTTTATGCCATTGTGGGCAAGGAGGGATTCAAGTTGATTAGCGTCCACGTAGTTTAACAGCCTGAGCTACTGGCCACAAAGAACAAAAACATGCCAAAAGATGCATTAATATAAAGATGAAAGAGGATCAATACCTTATTGCCTTTGCCAGGGAATCCAAATGGTTTTCCATATATTCCACTCTTTCGACATCATTGAGAGAATCTGCTACAGATGAATCCAGATTGTTCTCATCACCGAACCCTACGGGATGTTTCCATTTTAGCGAATCTATTTTTAACCTTTAAGGCTCTTCCAGAATCATATTGAAGCTTATTTTTACTGACGTACCGTTTTCACAGATGAACATTGGCGTATTGTTGTATCTGTCCTTTATGTATGTCACAATCTTCTCCATTCCTTGAGGGTATACATATAGCCAGTCCACTGCAGTCTATTTCAAGGAATGATTTGTGTGTGGACATATTTATTTATTTAAATTGTCTTCAACCAAAGAAAAACCGATATACTTACAGATTTGCCAATAAGTTTACCATCTTTCAACGGTGTCCAGAGGGAATTACCCTCTGATTTGGATACTCCTTGTCCTCCTCCACATTCAGAGTATATGCAGTCCTTGCTGTAGAAACTGGTATAATGATTGATGCCAATGAAGTCCAATCCAAATTTCAATTTCTCCAAATCCTTTTCCACAAAGACAGGCAGTAATGATCCTAAAATATTATGCATTTCTTCTGGATATTTCCCATGTACAATAGGGTCTAAGAACCTGCATGTGAGTTTAGAGTGAGTCAGATCACGCATCGTGTCCCTCACTTTATGGATGCCTGTGTAGGAATAAAATGCTCACCAATTCATATAGAAAGATAGGGCTCTCTCAGCAGCCGATTTGTCTTCTGCAGAATCACTGATGGGCTCAAACCAGATGGCATTCATAACAATTCCAATGCTACCTCCTTGTACATTCTGGGGTGTTTGACACCCATTTTAGTAAAAAAATTAGTTTTTGAATAGTGATCGATGGAAGAATGTGTGGTTAAAAAGTAAGGAGAATTTTTGGGTTTATGTGTAATATTATTTTATTGATAGAATGTGTGGTTGAAATGAAGAAAGAGAAAAAAAAAATGGATGTCAA